AACCAATCGACAACACCGCCACCTCACCATTGTCGTTGCCAGCACATCCACCACCGCCGCCTCCGCCACCACCTTCAAACACGTAAAAAAAAACCAAACACCATGCCTCCAAGTCAACACAAGCGAGAAGATCTATATCATCGTCGCCACCACCTCACAACAATCACCACCTCATCCCCCACAGTACCACCACCATCTTCATCTAAAATCTAGTCGTCAAATCTGGATAAACACGGCCAGAAAAATAAGGTACATAGCAAAAAGGGATCAATTTAAAGAAGATTACAATATCATGTACTTGTCCGTCAAATGTCGACACCCCTCATCTATTTCCAATAAATAATATACTGTAAAAACCCCCATGACAAGGCTATAATATCCAAATCCATTTTCAAAACCACTATATGAATATATCTACATTGAAGTGTGTCTTATTTCAATTTATGGTTTACCGTTCAGAGAATTTTTTGTATAATTCAGGAATGTGTGGCGATGCAGTACTTGGGACCTCATTCCCCACAATGGTAACCGCCGCGTTATCTCCACCAACTTCTGGCCCGACTCTTCCTCCAACTAAAGTATCACCACCAGTTTCAAAACATCTCAAATCCACAAAAGGTAAGATGGTCTCCAGCGGCAATGCTCTCCAGTAGCAGCGGCAGTGGTCCCTTCGTGAGTAGAGAGAGATAGGAAAAAAAAAGAAAAAAAAAAGAAAAGGAAGAGGAAGGTGAGAGAGAAAATGATTAGAGTTTGCATGGGGTGGATGAGGTAGAGTGTGAGTAAATAAATTAATTTATAATATAATTATTAATATTTAAAATTTTAATTATCATTTGATTTTTTAAAAAAATTAATTAATTTTAATTTTAAAATGGAAAGTTTTAAACTATTGATGCGTGTAATTTCCACTAATTTCTTCTCCAATTTCTCATGAATAGCTACTAGGTCGTAGACTAGGCAACCCAAACCCGATAAGTATTTTTCTCAATGTTCTAAAAATCCTAAAGCGTGGTTAGGCGTGGAGGTGAATTATCAAGCTTTACGAGCTTAAGCGATGTTTAAACGTAAAATACGTTTTCTTATTTTTAATATTATTTTAGATGTTTGATCATTTTAAATATTTTAATAATAAAAATAATATATATCAAAATCTAAAATTATAAAATACTATATTTACTTAATAATTCCTATCATTAGAGAATAATACAATTTTCAAGTTTTCGAAATGTAAAAATTAGAATATTTTTCATAGTTACAACTTTCAACTAAACAAATTTTACTTNGTAGTGTTTTTTTAAAATGATTAAAAGTAAAAATGAAAAAAATATTTTAAATTTTCTATATTCTTTAATTACACACTTTGAGAAAATCAATCTCGTACTCAAAGAGTAACGCTATTTATCACTGCTCGTGTTTAACATCGATATGGGTGGCACCACAAATGTTATTAAATTACACGATCAATTAAATAGTCCATCCGTCTCATTTATATAAGTTGATTATGTTTTTCACACGGATTAATAAATCTTATTTAATGTTATTTAAAATTTAATTTTTGCTACTAATTTTTATAATTTATTCTTATTTAATTATCAATAACTAATAATAAATTATTGTTAGAAGTAGTCAATAAATTGAATGATTTAATTTTCAATTCTCACATTCTTAAATTATTTGAATAATTTCAAGAAGTATGTATCTTTATAATTGTATAATTTCAAGATTAAGTGTGAAAAATTGATTATAACTATGCAAATTAAATAAGAGTATATTAGTAAACGAAAAAAAAAATTCTCAATAAAAAAAAATGATTATATAATTGAGATAAGAAAATAAGGAATGTCAGCTTATATAAATGGGACAGACGAAGTACAAAAATTTATGATTCATTTATTAAAATTTATTACACGTTGACACCTACATTAATGTAATAGATATTATTGTTTCTACTCAAAATATGAAAATCAAATGGGTAGATTTTCCTCTAAATTTAGCCCTTGTTTCGGCTCATTTTAGAGGAATGTTGAAAAAATGAATTTTTATAAAAATGGAACTGTAACATGGGCATAGACTAATTTTAAAATAAAGCCCATTTTTGTTACACATTCTTTCAAAATATATTATTTCAAAACTTATTTTCAACCCCACATTCTTTAATAAAAAATATTTTTCATCACATCAATAACTTTTCCTTCTTTTTTAATCACGTATTTTCCATCGTATCACTTATTAAAATACATTATTTAGGATACTACCCATCAAACGCGCATAAAATTGTGGCCAATAACCCGTTACCCAACCCCAGTCCAGCCCAATTCAAGAAGTTCACGGATCGCCGAATCGCCGTCTCTCGTCTCCAATTGAGACCTTCCCAATCGCCTAATCATCACGATAACCAATCTACAATCCAGACGTATATTTGAGGTAAATCTTTTTTTTTTTTAAATTTTGATTTGAATTTTGTATTCTTGTTTTCTTTTGTTATTTTTCCAGTGTTGGAGGTAAGATAATGCATAATTTATAGAGTTGACGTTGTGCTTTTGATACCAATTTTGTCTCGAAAGATTTCGAGATCTGCGTGGCGTGAGATACTTCAGCGTAAATAAATTTTTTTCTGCTTTTTTGACCTGTTTGGATCTTTGCATTCATTCATATGAAAAGGAAAATTGATTCAATTAGAGGTCTATTTTCCTTGCACACACGATTTTGGAACTCCATTGCACTGTATTTGATTTCCCAATTTTATTGACTTGTTTGAGACAGTGGGAGGACACTTTCTGTTAGATGTTATCAATTATTTTTTTGGCATTCTTCCATCAGTTTGGTGCTTTCGGTGCCACTTTGTTATTAGCTACTAGAGGCTGAGGGCGAAGGTCTTATCATGCTTTTCGAACTATAGTAGCTCATGATCCAATCTCAGTAGGTTCTGGGCACACCACACCGGATGGAAGGGTGACCAGGATAAGTGATAAAGCTCTATGCTTTACGAGTTCGCTTCCAGGATGTAACGCCTGTCCATCTGCTTTCTGATTTCAAAATACTAGAATTAACCAATGTAAAACACCATTTTGATGTGCAATTTTTATAACTCTTGAATGCAAATTGATTTAGAAAAGTAAACGAGAAGTCAGATTTTCCAAGCATGTCCTTCAACCTATTACTTTAAACTATCGTTCATCATTGTCGCATTTTCTATGAAACAATTGCCTTTTATACATATTTAGCCCACGTATGAGTTTATACCTTTTAACTGCTCGAAAGGCACGTATCAAAAGCCACCAGCTAAATACTTCTAGTTTCACTATCTCTTGTGCTATGCTAGGCTCGCACCTTTTGAAACAGATCAAAGTTTTACCAGAATATTCTGTGATTGTTTGGTTACATATTATTCGATCTTTTACTTTCTACAAACCGAGATAAGATCATTATAATGTTCTATCTTCCCTTGATTCTTCCATTGTAATATTTTGTGGGAATAGATGCACATTTCGATATTCTACATGGCCCTTACTATAGTTTTTTGGTTCAGTTCATAGTAGTACCATGTCATCTCCTACCTTTTCCATTAATAAACACGAATCAGAGTTTTGGCCTTTTCCATAAGTATCAGCCCATATTTTCCAAACCTTACATAATTTGTGGTGACATTTCAGAGGCTCAACCTACCGTACTAGTCCATTTTTTGCATTGAGGTTGTTTGTAAATCGCTGATCTTGTCCTTTCATGTCTTTTAAAATGGCCTTTGATGAGTTTGTTCCTTAGCTGATCTAATGTGATATCAGATTTGAGGGCCAACGTTTAGAGTTCGACTAAGCTGTGAAAGTTTTAGGACTGGCCCTAATTGTAGGTAAGTGAGACTTGAACAACAGTATCTATCATGGAAAATTTCACTCCCAAACCACTGGGACGTCTGATGGAGATTTGGACACTGGTCCAGTCCGGGTAATGCCAATGGACTGATGGATGGTTTCTAGAAGAAATCAGAACCAGTTCATTGAAAACTAGTTTGCCACAATTGCCTTCAATACAAAATATAAAAAAATATTGTAGCTAAGTGCGACTTGAACTCGGGTATTATATGAAAACACTACATTATGTGGTCTAGTAAAAATATATATATTTCCTGTAAACACACCTTAAATTTTAAACGCAAAATATAAGTTTTCTATATGTTTTTATTTATAAATATTTTTACGTAAAACTTTAATTTGACAATGACTTTGCCGGTTAAACCAATGACTCGATGTGTCAACTAGAGGTTCGTTGACCGGATACCTTGGTCGGATTATTGACAGGTCTATGTTTCTTAACTATGCTTCTAAGGTTTCAACTCTTAAGTAGTTATTAGTTGAGACCCATCAAGATGCTTAGTGTCTGTTTGGTAGAGATATTTTTTAAATAGTTGTGAAAATTTATTTTTTGGATAATGCGGGGTTAAAAAGTAAGGACACGTTACAAGTCTACACGCAAAATTATGTTATTGGGAGAATGTGTGATTGAAAACGAGTTTTAAAGGATGAAGGACGAATAGAACAAGATGAAAGGGAGCTCTTTTCTTAATAAAGTAACAGAAGATTTTTAACTTTTAAAATGGGCATTTAAAAATGGAAAATTGAAAGTCTTCATTTTATTGTGGCCACTAGAAAAAGAGAAAAAAAGAGCTTTATTTTTGGAAAAATTCCCCAATATCAAAATAATAGAAATTTATCTAGAAAGGCCACTAGTATTTTGTTTCCCTCTTTTTAAATAATAAATAATTGCTACTTCAATTCAAACTATCTTTCCACCATTGGCTTGTAATTTCTATCTAAACCTAGATCTTGGCAAGTTTTCATCTTATTTTTCTGAAATTGAAGAAGGTAATTTCTCTATGTGGGTGAATAGATTAATTTGTTTCTTCTTCTATATATGATGAACATGAAATTTTAATCACAGTGAAAAGAGAAATGGATCCCGATTCAGTGAAATCAACCCTCTCTAATTTGGCTTTCGGCAATGTAATGGCTGCTGCAGCCCGTGATTACCAAAAGGTGATCCCCATTTCATGATTATTCCTTTTTCCCCATTTTTTTGTGAGCAAGATATAGAATTTCTCTTCAAAATTTGAATTTGCCATTTTTACTTTTGATATTTTCAACTACTCTTTATAGTTTTGCATGGTTACTGCATTCAATCTTCGCAAAAATTTTCAAGAAGTAAACGATGAAAAATGACAAATGAACTTTACTCATATGCTAGAAAGTTGCATTCCTTAGAAATTTCAATAAACAACGTAGTGCCAATTTGCAAGTGTTATACCCTTGTATCTCATGCATGAGTTCACTACAGGAATTGCTTGCTCAAGAAAAGGGACATGCATCGTCTTCTGTTAATGAGGAATTTGATCTTGATGAATTGATGGATGTAAGTGGAGAATAAAGTTATAATTTCTCTCTTTATTGCTGCAAAAATGTGCTTTGTGTACAATCATTGTGTTACAACAGGACCCTGAGCTGGAAAAATTGCATGCAGATAGGATTGCAGCTCTTAAGGTTTGTAACTTGGCGTGCTCGTACGAAATGTCTTACTGTGCTTTTATTTGGGGTTGGATTTTGAATGGTAGAAATAGTGTTTTCCTGAATTTGTTCTTTTAGAAAGAAGCCGAGAAGCGACAAGAATTGAAAATGCAAGGGCATGGAGAGTATAGGGAGATAACTGAAGCAGACTTTTTGGGTGAAGTTACTGGAAGTGATAAAGTGATTTGTCACTTCTACCATCACGAGTTCTACCGTTGCAAGTAAGGACTCTCTCTCTCTCTCTCTCTCTCTCTATGTAAAGAAACGATAGAGGGAACTTCTCATTTGTGATGTGAGAAGTTTGCTTACCCTTTAGCCTGAAAATTATAATTTTCACATAATACTTGTTGGCTAGAATTACATCGTCAATCCTTTCATTAAAAAAAAAGGGAGAAAAAAGAAAGATAGAAATTTACATCCTCGAGGAATGTGCTTGAGCCAAAATTTGTGATGATAGTGAGACTAATATTTTGTATGAGGCCTTGCACGTTTTAGTACATGTTTCACAGTTGTGGATTTTCATATATTTAATTTCATTTGACAAATATTCTAATACCTTCTATAACTATCTTTAATGACTCTTTTTAGGATTATGGACAAACATTTGAAGTCCCTTGCTCCAATACATTTTAGCACCAAATTCGTCAAGTTGGATGCTGAGGTCAGTTTTAACCTTTATGCTCCATATATTTTGAAACTGACTGACGGAGAGTTTCCACCTTATTTCTGCTCCTTGCAGAAGGAAGGGTGGTCATTCCTTTCTTCTTTAATATGAGGGATAGTTGAATGGTGGAAATAACATTTTAGGCATTGTGTAACTGCTAATGTTCTGGCTAAATAATTGCTACCTTAGAAATTAGAATACTTGACCACCTTGCATTTGTAACAAACAATAATTCCGTGCTTAACTCAAAATCGAGCAATTTATTTACTTAATGATGTTTAAGTATATGTGTGTTTTGTTTAAGTATAATTATATATTTACATAGAAGATAGCCATTTTATGAGACAAAATTCTAGGAATGGTTTTGCATTTAGAGATACAAAACCTTTATGCTCCATATATTTTAAAATTGACTAATAAATAGTTTCCAGCTCATTTCTACTCCTTGTGGAAGGAAAATTGATCATTCCTTATTTAATATGAGGGATAGTTGATTGATGGAAATAACTATTTTGGCATTGTATAACTGATGTTCTGGCTAAATAATTGCTACCTTAGATTTCAAAAAATTACGGAGAAATTTACTTCCCTCCATTTTCCTTCCAATAAAATTGTGTTAGTGTGTCAGCTATTTTCATTTGTACTCTTCGTGCTAGTGTTTAATTTCATTCACTGGAAAAATACTAAGGCTATTTGTTATAAAATGTCTCTGTAGAATGCACCTTTCTTCATTACAAAGCTGGGAATCAAAACATTGCCTTGTGTCATACTATTCAGGTCAGTCCTCTTTCACTATTTATTGACGGTACGCTTCTGCATTTCTGAGTTGTTTTTCCAAATATTTTTTTGTGTTTGAAATCTCTATAATTATCGGTGAATGACATTCTATATGTTTGGATCTCAATTTTTCTAGTTGGTCATAACACGAGTATGGCCATCAAATCTAAGATGCTATTGGCATGTTTGTTTAGAGAAAAATACTTTCTTCGATTTTAGAAAAATAGGATTAATAGAATTGCTTAATAATTACCAAGATCCGGATTAAGTTAGCGATTACAACTCGATTGTAGAAGATAGTTTGAATCGGGTTAGTGATTATCAGAAAAGATCCCTTTCTTGATAATTTCCTCTTATTTGATTTTGGGTTTTCTTTTAAAAAATGCTTTTTTTTAATGGCCATAGTAAAGTAAAGACTCAATTTCATTATTCATATTAAGCCCCATGTTTGTTGTAGATTAAAATTAGATTTTTAGTAGATTTTGATAAAAGTTGGTGGAATGTGTGGTTGAAAAATTGTGGGTTCCATGAAATGTGTGATTAAAATTAATTGTTGACTTTGACTTCAGATTAAAATCAGATTTTAATTTGTACCAAACAGGGGCTAAATGCCCATTTTAAGTTAATAATCTTGTGTAACTTTATTTAAAAAAATGAGCTTATTACCCCTTTCATCCTTACTTGGATGAGGATCTTAGAAGCACCTTGAGAAATCGTAAGTAATTGCTATTTTGGACTTGAGAAGTTACTTTAGGGGTCTTCAACAAAATTAAATGTTTTCAGAGATTCATTCTGTTTCTTTGATTTTATTTGTCACAAATTATGATGCTCGGACTTAGGTACGGGCATCAGGTACGGGTACGTATCTACACGTCGATCTTTTATTTTCTAAAATATAAGAAAATAGAACATAACTAAAAAGAGTCCAAATTTATGACACGAGTACGTGGGTACGTTGATATGCGATTTTTTCAAAAAATTCTGACACGTTACATTGTCAACATGTTGATTAAAATATATTTTTTAATTTAATAGTCTAAAGTAATTAGTTTTTTATACTTATTGCATCATATATAAGTAGTTCAATAAAAAATGGATTTAGTTGGATTCTTGATTCGGGGAAAATGGTAAATTTAAATGAAAATAAGTTTTCCTCCTTTTTAATTAAGGGTAAAAAAAAGTGATTCGATTCTTACAAAAATAAAGTTTACTTCACTTTTTCATTTACAATTCTTCCTATTAAGATCAAATAAGAACTATAGAGCAGTTCAGAGAATTGTTTTATCTGATTTTGTATAGTTGGTTTAATACTGTGGCTAATAACCATATAGAAGGGTTGCCTAATTTCATGTCGTTCCTGTATTGTTTAAATTGATAATACATTT